CGAGTGCGGAACAGGGGGGGGGGGGGGGGGCAGTGAAAGCTAATGTAGCAGCGTAAAACTGTCCCTCAGAGAAATCCAGGCAGTCACCGACAGCCCTTAAAACAGGGATAGAAATTTAGCCGTGTTAGTCTGGGGTAGTTGAAGCAAAATGCAGGACAATGTAGCACTTTAAAGACTAACAAGATGGTTTATTAGATGATGAGCCTTCGTGGGCCAGGTTTTTGATCTGAGGAAGTGGGTCTGGCCCACGAAAGCTCATCATCTAATAAACCATCTTGTTAGTCTTTAAAGTGCTACATTGTCCTGCATTTTGCTTAAAACAGGGGTGAGCAAAAGGCTGCCAGCGGACCGGATCCGGCCGCCAAGCCACCAGATCCGGGCGCAACCCCCTCGCCGGAATCCTCAGGCAGGGATCAGTTCACGTTTTAGAAAGCCAGCTGTTCTCCGCTCCCAGCTGCCTGGGGAGGGAGGGGGGAGACGTCTCCTGCTGTTCCCGCCCCCCAGCAAAATCTCTTAGTTGCTATTGTCCAATCTCTCAGTTTCCGGCCAATAGGAGCCAAGAATTTTTGCTGGGAGTAGGGGCAGTGTAGGAACCCTTCTCGTCCCCCTCCCCTGCCTCTTATGCTCAGTGTGGAGCCACATGGAGCAGCTATTTCCAAGGTTTAGAAATCATCAGAAGGCGTATGTATGTGCAACAAATCTGAATACTGACTAGCTCATCCTACCTTTAATAAGAGATTCTCTGCCCTGCTCCTGGTGCTCTGCTACAGGTTGATTCACTAAGCACTGGGCAGTGGTGCAGGTCACAGGAGGGCTACGTCTAGACTGGCATGATTTTCCGCAAATGCTTTTAACGGAAAAGTTTTTCCATTAAAAGCATTTGCGGAAAAGAGTGTCTAGATTGGCACGTATGCTTTTCTGCAAAAGCACTTTTTGTGGAAAAGCATCCGTGGCCAATCTAGATGCGGTTTTGCGCAAAAAAGCCCTGATCGCCATTTTAGCCATCGGGGCTTTTTTGCGCAAAACAGAACTGTGCTGTTTACACTGGCCCTCTTGCGCAAATGATTTGCGCGAGAGGGCTTTTGCCCGAACGGGAGCAGCACAGTATTTCCGCAAGAACACTGACGATCTTACATGAGATCATCAGTTTTCTTGCGGAAATTCAAGCATCCAGAGTAGACAGCTGGCAAGTTTTTCCGCAAAATCATCTTGCCAGTCTAGACACAGCCGATATGTGTTACTCCTTAGGTAGGCCAAAACCCGGGCAATCTTTTCCTCAATTTTCACTGAGAATAGATAAGAGACCATGTTTATGTAAGGTAAACACATCTTTTGAATGAGTGACATCACCTGTTATATTTAAAAATTATACAATCCTAGTAAGTGAGGATAGAAAACAGTATAAGAAGAATTCTAGTTGGGAACAAAAACACAACACCTGGCATAAAGACAATAGTGCATATATTGAGTAATACATAGAAAACATATATGGAAACCCTCTTCTTACCTTTGTTATCTGCCATGCTCATGTTTGTGACAGTGAGTTCCTTTGCTAGTCAAGGTCTTTTAAATAATCTGAAATACACAAAGACATATTACCCATACATTTATGTTTCATTATATTAACAGCCATTAAAACACTTTAAAATGAAAAAGACAGCTTTTTCTGCACTATATGTGATACTTGTAGCAATTATTTGTCGGTGGTTTCGGGGTCATAGGGTTACAGCCGCATTTACATGAAGATGTATACCTTACATACTCAGTACCATCATCATGATTAATGAATCCATGTAAAGTGGTGGGATTTTATTGTTATTGTGTTTTAGATAACTGAACACTAGATCGTGCAAGTGGATTTTATTATATTATTGTGTTTTAGATAACTGAACACTAGATTGTGCAAGCGGATAAAAAAACGCCCTTACCTGGTGGGTAATTTAATGGCCTCTGTCCAGGAAACAGGGGCTTGCTCCTTTTGGCCGTGGATTGTCTAATTGGTGCAATGAAGGGGGCTGCCAAAGGGGAGGAGAAGGGGGCAGGGAGTGTATG